CTGTGGTGCCCAGAACTGGACACAGTATTTCAGGTGAGGCCTGACCAAGCTATGGAATTCTGGGCTACAGAATTCTGGGATTTGTAGTTTGGTAAGGCAGCAGAGCTCTCTGACAGAGAAGGCACAAGTACCAGAATTCCATAGCATTGAGCCATGGCAGTTAAAGTGGTGTCAAACTGTTTTATATCTGCAGTGTGGTAGCAAACTGGGTCTCACGACAGACAAGGAGAGACGGATGGAATAATAATTTCCCCAATGTAAGCTGTGTGGGCTCAAAGAGAACACAAATTCAGAACAGTGCCTTCATGTTACATCATTGTCATCACCACCACCACTATCGTTGCTAATAATGCCACAGCATACCTTCATCGCAGAGAAGATTTCAGGACAATAGGTATTCTGGGAGCAATTCCAAATGGACTTACAAAATATTTGAATGAAACTGGCATAGACAATTACATAAAGGGAGACTACTTTGAACATTCCACATTATAAATAATATAACAACAACAACAACAACTTTTTAAATTCTTACTAATGATGCCACACTGATTCCTAGATTGCTGGATAGAATTGAAATCATTGATGGCCCAAAACTCCAGGCAGCACAGAACACCTTGTAGACTGTGTAAATGAGTTAACATTTTTGGTAAGATACAATCACAACTTTACCCTGAGAGGACTTCAGGATGATGGACATATATATTTTGTTGTTGTTGTCTGCCTTCCAAGTTGTTTCCAATCTATGGAGATTCCAATGTGACCCTATTATCAGGGAGCCCTGGTGGCACAGTGTAGCCACTCACTCACAAACCACAAGGTTGTGAGTTCAATACCAGCCAGGGCTCAGGCTTGCATCCTTCTGAGATTGCTAAAATGAGTACCCAGCTTGTTAGGGGCAATGAGCTTACAGTTGTAAATCGATTAGGAACTCCATAGCGTGGTATGAAGCAGTATATAAATGAAACTGCTATTGCTATTCTTGGCAAGATTTGTTCAGTGGTTTGTTCTTGCCTTCCCCAAGTCTGAAAGAGTGTGACTTGCTCAAGATCACCCACTGGATTTCCATGTCTGATTGGGGATCTGTTCTAGTCCAATGCTCAATCCATTACACCATGCTAGCTCTCATTCAAATCTACATACAACATTAAAATTGGGAGGATTAAACTTTTATCTAGAATGCATATAGGTGTGTTTGTGCATATTCACACCTGCGTGCATAGATTATGTTGTTGTTATTGTGTGCCTTTAAGTTTTTTCCGACCTAAGGTAAATCTATCATGAGGTTTTCTTGGTAAGTTTCTTCAGAGGGGGGTTGTCATTGCCATCCTCTGAGGCTGAAAGGGTGTGACTAAGATCACTCAGTGGATTTCATGCCTAAGTGGGGATTTGAACCCTGTTCTCCAGAGTCATAGTCAAATACTGAAACCACTACACCATGCTGGCTCACCACTTAGGGCAGGGGTAGGCAACCTTTCCCCTTTAAGGGCCAAGGG